TAAGTCTGACAACCATTTCTAATTCAAATAAGCCCACTTATGTACACTTTTAAACAAATGCGACTAAATGTCAACAGGTTAACATTTTGTACTTTCGATTTCTACAACCATAATAAAAATATGCAAATAATGTATTGTTTGCTTTTGTAACTATGAATTCACTAATTTTAGCTTGGCATTTACTTGATATATTGGAATTAAGCTTGTCAACAACTTCTAGCATTAAATTTCTATTTGTTTACATGTCTAGTTTCTTAGCGCGGGTCAGATCGAAATACCGTATCCGTTCTGTGTATTCATACTTTTGTGTTCGCGGTCCTTATCCGAAGACTGACGAAAAGGGCCGAAAAGTTGCGATTGACACAACCCACGGAGATAGTCTTTTTAGATTGTTCTTATCGCAAAATAAAACCCAAGGTGATAGCCTAGACGAATGTTGTAAAGCTGACACAACCCCAGGTGAAAGGCCTTCTAGAGTGTCCTTATCGCAATAAAACTCATAAAGATAGCCTCGACGAATGCAGTAAAGCTCCCAAAACAAACTGTGATAGTCCTTTTAGAGTGTTTTTATCGCAATAAAAATCTGGAAACAAAGTGATCCCTCGGAAGCATTAATCACAACAAAATTACAAGAGAATAAACCCCGGTGATAACCTCGATGAATACAGTAATAAGACCATCCGAGGTGAAAGGGCTTTTTTTTTTTTTTGGGGGGGGGGGGGGGGGTTCTTATAGAAATAAAAGTCTCGGTGAAAGCCTCGACGAATTCAGGAAAGCTCACAACCCACGGTGAAAGGGCTTTTGGAAGGGACCTATTGCAATAAAACCCACGGCGATGGCCTCGACAAATAAAGTAAAGCTCACTCAACCAATAGTGATAGGCTATTTCCAGGATTGTTATCGCAATAAAACCCACGGTGATAGCATCGACAAATAAAGTAAAGCTCACTCAACCAATAGTGATAGGCTATTTCCAGGATTGTTATCACCCAAGGTGATAGCATCGACGAATGCAAGTTACCTCGCACATTCCACGCTGATAGGCCTTTAAAACTCACTGTGGTAGACTAAACGAATGCAGAAAATCTCACACAATCCACGGTATTAGGCCTCTTAGAGGGTTCTTATCAACGAATGCATTAAAATTCATTCACCACACGGTGATAGGTGCTTTAAGAAGCCTTTATCCGTGGGTTATGTGAGGTTTATTGCGATATGCCCCCCGCCCCAAAGGTCTTTCACCGTGGGTTGTGTGAGCTTTACTGCATTTGTTGAGGTTATCACGATGGTTTTATTGCGGTAAGACCCCTCTAAAAGGCCCTTTGCGGTGGGTTGTGTGAGTTTTTCTGCATTCGTTGAGGCTATAAACGTGGGTTTTATTGCGATAACACCTAGTCAAAGGCTTTTACCGTGGGTTGTGTGAGCTTGATAGCACTCGTAGAGGCTATCACTGTATGTTATTTTGCGAGAAGAAGCCTTCGAAAGGTCTATAAGTGTGGGATGAGTGAGCTTTTCTGCATTCGTTGAGGTTATCACCTTGTTTTTGTCATTGCCTATCAACATGGGTTGTTTGAGCTTTACTGCATTTGTCGAGGCAATCAACGTGGTTTTTATTTCGCTAAGAACCCTATTAAATGCCTATCAAAATGTGTCACCTTTATTGCACACGCCAAGGCTATAACTGTGGGTTAAATTGCGATAAGAGCCCATTAAAATGTTAATCACCGTGATTTGAGAGCTTTACTGCATTCATTTAGACACCGTTAGTTTAATTCACGATAAGAAACTTCTAAAAGGCCTGTCACCTTTGTTTGTTTGAGCTTTACTGCATTCGTTGAGGTTGTCATGATGGTTTTATTGCGATAAAAACCCTCTTAATTTAAAGGCCTATCGCCATGGGTTGTGTGAGTTTTTCTGCATTCGTTGAGGCTATAAACGTGGGATTTATTGCGATAAAAAACCTTAAAGTTCTATCACAGTTGGTTGTGTGAGCTAAACTGCATTCGTTGAGGCTTTCATCGGAGGTTTTATTTGAATAAGAACCTTCTAAAAGGCCTACTTCTGCGGATTGTGTGAGCTTGACTGTGTTTGTCTCGGCCATCACCTTGGTTTCATTGCGATAATAACCCCCCAAAAGGCATATAACCGTGTTAGTTAAGCTTTACTGCATTCGTTGAGGCTTTCACCGAGGATTTTATTGTGCTGAGGACCATCTAAAAGACTTATCACCGTGAATTGTGTTGGTTTTTACTCCATTTCGTTATGGCTATCACCGTGAGTTTTATTCGCGATTTATTCTACGAGGCCTGTCACCGTTGGTTGTATGAGCTTAACTACATTCATTGAGGTTATCACGATGAGTTTTTTTTTGTTGCAAAAAAAAAAACCTCAAAAAGGCCTATCACCATGGGTTGTGTGAGCTTTACTGCATTCGTTGAGGCTATCACCTTTGGTTTCGTTGCCATAAGAACCTTCTAAAAGGCCTATGACCGTGGGTTGTATGAACTTTAGTGCTTTCGTTGAGGCTATCACGGTGGGTTTAATTGTGATAGGAACACACTTAAAGGCCTACAATTTTGGGTTGTGTAAGCTTTCTTGCATTCGTTGAGGCTACCACCTTGGGTTATAATGCGATAAGATCTGACTAAAAGTTCTATCACCGTGGGTTGTGTGAGCCTTACAGCATTCGTTGAGGCTATCACTGTGGGTTTTTTTTTTGCGATAATAACCCTCCAAAAGGTCTATCACCGTGGGATGTGTGAGGTTTTCAGCATTTGTTGAGGTTATCGCCGTGGGGTTTATTGCGATAAGAACCCTCTAAAATGCCTTTCAACGTGGGATTTTTAGATCTGCTGCATTTGTTTATTCAAGGAAAACAACTCGTACTATTTTAAAATTGATATCCAGTTAAGAGTTGTATCTCTTGTCATGAATACTTTATGCATAGGTCATTCAAGGTGTTTAAAAAAGAAAGATACAAAAAGGGCAGTGGTGCAATACAGAGTGGATTAAGCCTAAATTAATGATCTTTAAACATTAGTCTCAATTAGACAGTAAAGAAATATATTTGCCCCATAAATTGTCAAACTTTGAAACCTATTTTGTTTTTTTCACTATATAATTGTGTTCCAAAAGAATAGCGACATAATTTTTAAAAGTTGAACGCTTGGAACTGTGCTCTTTAATTTGCATCGATAAAGAGTATACATTCCCAACAGAATTAAATTCAATGTTGCATTATCTAAGTGTTCATTGCCTAGAATAATATCTGTTCAGGTTCACGTACTGTGTGTTAACATCTGTACATTCTGAATTTATCCATGATTTTATATCTTCCCAAAAAAGAAGAACTTAATTGGCAATTCCAAAATAAATGTTTTATAGTTTCAATATGGTTGTTGCAAAAAGAACATGTATTAACATATTTTATTCTCATTTTATGTAAAAGATCATTTGTTGCCAGTATCCTGTGATTAACTTTATACTGAAACCATTGTAAATTCGAATCCTTTGTAATATTAAAAGGGAGCCTATAAATGCCATTCCAATTACAATCATCATTTAAATTGAGTTCATCTTCCCATTTTCTCATAGCAATAGATGATATATTTGAAGAATATTCTAAGAATATAATCATAGATTTGTCTACATATCCCTTTTTTGACTATTCATTATCATGATCATTAAAGGCTGAATAGGCATTTCCTCTTTCTGAAGTAGGTGTTTTAAAGACAGCTGATTTAAAAAATCTCCAAATAGACTCTGTAATATTTTGATACTCTAAAAAATTGGTATTTATATCAAACTTAGTTAAAAATTCATCAAATGATAGCAATTAAATTACCACTATTGTCTATGAAGTCATTTACCAATATAATACCACAATTTACACATCTTTAGAAACAAACAGTAGAACCACCTATTTTAAACATAGAATTTTGCCAAACAGGATGTGAGCCAAATTCACTCCAATTCCTGGGGTACTGCTTATGTAACTGTATGAGCCCAGTAAAAACATCCTTCCAAAATTTATTTTGCACTGTCTGAAGTTTATTTATCAAAAATTGGTCTCCATATTTACTAATATTTGATAGGAAAGGGTACATATTATTTACAAAAATAAAGTATTTGGTATTATACGTTAAAATTCTTCTTATCCATGTTAATTTTAGAGACTTTAGAGTTTATCACTCTGAAACCCTATTTTCATAATTCTGAATAACAACATTTATTTTAATTTTATCTGGTCCGGACTTCCATAAGAATTTAAAGAAGGAGTTTTGTGTAGCTTTAATTGTTCCTATATCAGGATTTGGCTAGCTTAATTTAGGTAATGCTAATGGCTTGATTACATCATTCTTACCAATAGGTGTAATAATACGTCTTGACCAATAAGTAAATAAATTATTAATTTCCTCCTGTTTAGATCAATAATTAGCTTGAGTCATGTTATTTAAATTAATTGCAAAAGTAACACCAAGTAGCTGAAAACATTCAGATTCCCACTGATGATTAAAGTCCAGGCAACTTTTTTAATTATTCCCTTTCATAGAACCAATCCATACTGCTTTTGTTTTATCTATGTTAATGTTTAGACCCGAAATTTTAGCATAATTTTTTATACTTGCATAGTGTGTCTTAGAGACTTAACAGTTCCATCAAGCATTATAGTTGTGTCATCAGCATATTGAGATAATAAAAATTCAGAGTGACATGAATTAAGTCTATTATATTTGTATTATTTTTCATGAGTAATGCAAGAATTTCTGCACATAATATGAAAATGTAAGGGGATAGTTGGTTGCCCTGACGACAACCGCGTTGTATTTGAAACCAGTCTGACAAATTTCCATTTATTGTGACACAAGAATGAATGTTTTTGTAAAACAACTTTACCCAACTTATGAAATTTTCACCAAAATTGAAAAACTCTAAAACTTTATGCATAAATGTCCATGATATAGAATCAAAGGCTGTTGCAAAATCAATAAGTAACAACATTTCTGGAATTTGATGATCATCTGTATATTGCATAATATCATAAATATAACATAGGTGACAATATAAGATGTACATTCATTGCTGTATAAGCATAATAAGGCAGATTTGTCAGTGGAGCAATTAGAATTATTAATATTGATTATATATTATCACTATTTCTCTTATACATGTAGTTATATACTTTCCAAGTAATCATATAAATAACTTGCATTGAGACAAAAAGTATTGAAGCCGGCTGACGTCAGCTGATTCTACTTTTCGCGACCAGTGCATGACTAAAATCAGTCCGACCATTTTCTGCATTGTTAACTATTCCTGTCAGTATATGAGCCGCGCCATGACAAAACCAACATAGTGGGTTTGCGACCAGCATGGATCCAGACCAGCCTGCGCATCTGCGCAGTCTGATCAGGATTCATGCTGTTCGCTTACCAACACTATAACAGTGGATAAACTGACAGTGAACAGCAGTGATCCTGATCAGACTGCGCGGATGCGCAGGCTGGTCTGGATCCATGCTGGTCGCAAACCCACTATGTTGGCTTTGTTATGACGCGGCTCTTATATTTTGCAATTTCAGCTAAAAATGATGAATAGTTTTAAGTAATTAAAATATTTAGCGAATTGATAGTTTTGATGAATAGTAATTCTAAAGATGGATACGAGTGAAGGTAATTTAAGTGCTTGCATTTAGTAGTTTACCAAAAAAAGTTGAAATCGAGTAAAAAAAAAATCATAGCCTCATTCATACTGCCGCTAGTATTTACATGTATTACAAAACAGGAATATTGAGTTAATATCTGTTCCATGTTCGAATAACATTGTAGAAACTTGTCCCAGGGCATGCTGTGCTTTTCACGTCACGATGACCGCGCAGTGTGTATGATGGCAAAAGTTTCTTCTTGGCTACTGAACATGATAACAACTGTTTTATCGCCGTCTGTGCAGCCTCGTTTGGTACATCGTTACTAAAGTCTCCGATCACACAAATACCTGAATAATGTGAAAGAAACATTTATTTCGGTTGGGTTTCACGCCGAACCGACTCGGTATAATGGTCATCTGGAGATTATCTAAGACATCTGGTACCCTTCCGTGCAGACAGGAACGGGCACCTGAGTAGAACCACTGACATTCCGCAAACTAGCTTGGCAGCTTCATCCAAAGGCCCTGGCGGCATTCGAAGCCTTGGCGCTGAAGCGGTTGGAAAAACACAACACAACATTAAAACTACCAATATTCCTATCTTTGAAACGGAATATGAACTTTCCGACTATATGACTGTCATCTGAAGTTGGAATATATTACAGAAATATTATCTCCAAGCTTCAAGCGACTGCAAAAATGTTCGGTATAATACCTGATAATGAGGTATTAGATAACATAGTTTAGTTTTTGGTTGTACATTGCATAACAGGCTAATGTTTGTGTAATTTAAAAGAATGTTTTCATTTTTATTTTATAACAGTTTTACTGGGTAAAAAAACATTTTTGTGGAACCAATTAACTTGTATCAAAGGTCGTAAAATGTCATGAAGTGCCATTATGATAAAAAAAAATGTTATCCGCGTTTACTTACTAACCTAAACTTATACTGTTGTAGGGATTTTTTCCAGCATGTGAACCGCTTATTCCCCAACCCCTACCCTCGTACACGTTGCCATCTTCACCAACAATGAAGTTGTATCCAATATCGTGCCAATCTAAATGAATATAAAATATGTGCAAATAGAAATATAATGAAGCTTATGCCTTTCCACCCACTGTCTAGTATCTTTATCGAAAGCTTTTTTTTTTTTTTTTTTTGATGACAAATTTACATTGCATGATTCTAATAAACATAAGATTAAAAGCTGACATTGCATTGTTTTACATAAGTGATAGCAAGAAACACTTACATTGTTTTATATAGACTATCAAAAGCGCAATTTTACATTAAGACGATCATAAAGTGCAATGAAACACTTTTATTGTTTTACATGAAGACGATAAACATTTTCTTCTTTTAAACAACGTATTAATGTTTCAATGCTTGTTGAAGTAAGAATTTGTTCATAAATATTATAACGTTTACTGTTATTATCCATGTGCAGTTTCTGATACGCCTGGACTGTGCTCGTGCACGCGCTCTTTGTAAAACATCTAGCTCCAGCACCATGATGAATAAGTGCATAAGATGGCAACGAACTCATCTGTCTTCTGCTCTTCGGTGCCCGTGCACCCCAGCCCGCTCGGGAGATGATCGTTGGACACCCAGGAAGTTGGATTTCGGCGTTTTCAACACTGACAGTTCCATCTTCACTCGTTTTTGCGTCAACACTGGCACTTTCGCTATATCTAGACCATGTTTTGATCACGTCGTAGAACTTCTGCCCTGGACACTCTGTATTCTTTAAATCACGATGTGCGCGTATTGTGTAGGTAGACAGCAGCTTATCGTTGGACTTGGAGCACGTGATCAGCTGTTTCACAGCATTCTGGGCAGCCTCGTTAGGGACATTATTGCTGAAATCCCCGATCACACAAATTCCTGAAATAATATGCATATTACTCGTACATGTATACATATATGTAGGTATAAATGGTATTGCCTATCAATATCCATGCAACCAAGATATTCGTTCAGATTTTATTAATACCCAATGAGGAACTTACCTAGGCTCTTTTTATTTAACTCTGAAGTTCCAGCGTGCGCGCCTCGGATTCCCCAGCCCCTTCCTTCGTACACATTTCCGTCCTCGCCAACAATGAAGTTATAACCAATGTCACTCCATTCTAGAAAAAAAATGTAAGTAAATACATACTTATTTTCAGAAAAAGTATTCCGATAAGACAACAGTGAAAATACAGGAAATATGCTTCACTGCAGTGAAAAATATTTTTTTACAGTGAAAATATAGAAAATATGCAATTTATTTCATCAATATTTCTCAGTATTTCATTTATAAGTATATAAAAATTTATAATTATACTTATTTATTGAACGGTTTTGTGACGTGCTTTCCTATGCAATAATTATAGATTATTTAAAAAAAATTAACATTTCACAGTACAATACAGAAATAATCGTCGGACAGGTGCACAGATGGAAAAAGAAAAAATATTGTACAAAACAATCTTAAATAGCCCATTGATTCTTCAACCCAATTTTATTAAGAACACGCAGTGTGAAACTGATAAATAGAAACGTCATATGTGAATAATTTGATAAAAATGTTAAGTTTTTTAAAATATAATTGTATTCAAATTGTACTTCTGGTATCCATGTGTAAATTCTGGTAGTCTCGAACTATTTCTTGGCATTTTTCAGGTGTGAAACATCTAGTTCCCGCGCCATGGTGTATTACTACATACATTGGAGCAGACGTCATTGGCGTTGTACTTTTTGCTGCACGTGCTCCCCACTGTGATCTGGTTATGATAGATGGACACCCTGGCCACGTCGGCGTCTCATCATTAACGTTATTCTCATCATCATCTGTTTCAGGTTCATTGTTCCCGCCAGTCCCAACTTCCGGTGCATCTGTTACAGGTTCATTGTTCCCGCCAGTCCCAACTTCCGGTGCATCTGTTACAGGTTCGTCTTCAACGTTGTTACTAGTATCACTGCCACTCTCCGTAAGTTCTCTGTCGCTTGTAAAACCCGATCGGAAACATCCCTGTGTCATTTGCAGACAAAGTAAAAGGAAGATTATTCTTAATCCGTCCATATTCATGTAGCACAAATATATCTGCATGTATTTTGAAAATCAATTCAGATACGTTTATATGCACATTTTGTACATAAAAAACATATAAACCAACCAACTGATTTTTTTCTCGTTTCTTTTCTTTTTACGACATGAAAAGAACGATCGTAACATTAGGCATACTTGACATAATTTCTTTATTCAAAATTTGGTCATCTGTCAATATTTTGGTTTTGTAGTCAATACATACATGCAATAGTAATTATAATAATATACTATAGAACTAAATGACAAAAGTCTATTATCCCTCCGAAAAATGCATTCACGATAATTGGTAGGGAAATAATGAGATCCATATTTTTCATCCACACTTCCGGGTCACATAGTCTGGATTTTATTTCATTTTTGTTTTCAAAATTATTCACTCATTTGATCAAGATTTATCGATACATCTATACGCTTCACAATGTTCGTATTCAGGTTGACAAATATAAATACTGTGTAAATGTTTCTTCAAGTTATTGAAAGAAGCGCTAACGATATCTCTTTTGTACATCAATGATAAATATATTTGAAAGAGTACAGTGTATATTTTGAATATGCTCTTTATAAAAAAAAGAAAAGCGACATTACGGGCGACATAATGTATCGTTTTACAGACTGATGTATTTTCTCAAAGGCGCTTTAAATATTTTATTATTGAAGTATGACCTCGGATCAATCGAGTTTTCAAATATATCATTTTGTAAATCAATGTCACAGTTATTAATACGTGTATTTTGTATAACAATGTTATTTTAGTTGTGACACTATCAAAATTATCAAGACACCCAGATGTAACATAAAGTTAATTGGCATTGTTTTTAGGCAGGACAAATGTACTGATATTCATAATTGATTCATCCCCAGAGACACTTATACATTGTAACTGATGTTTCAGACCTACCTTAATTTTCATCGACTTACAATCGAAAAAAAATCGATCATTGACTCGTTTCAATATTAAATTGATAGTTAGTATGTAAAAAACGCGAATTCATTGAGTACATACATATTGCACCAAATGTTGTGTTTAACCTCGGCGACTCGATCCTAGTCGAAGTAGGTAGTTATACAATTAACGTACGTACTGCCCGGGTTAGTACATTTACACGTTGAAAAATGCTCTCTTGATCATGATTGCAATAAAATGGTTGCTATAAAGAAATAAATTTTGAAATTTTATGCAATTAACATGATTTTTTTTCGCATTTAAGCATTCTTAATTAATGTATACTCATTTCGTTAAGCCCGTGGTTGAGTGGTTAAGGTCGTTGGCTTTTATACACTTAGGCCTAATCCTCACCTCTATGGATTCGAATCCTTCTTTTATATATGTGGCAGTTATCCAGTTTACTAACTAAACGTCGGTGGTTCTACACGGGAATTGGTAGATTTGTTCCCTGCTAAACTATATTTTTACCAGGTTGTTGCTGCATTTAAATTGTGTCTTTCTATTCTAGAAGTACAGATTTACAGTCAAAGTCACAAATGTATGCGAGGTTTGTAGGAACATTGTTGTGCCTCAACTCGCTTAAAAATTAATATACAAATACATAATTATACTATAGATATATTTTACTAGGAGTGACGGATTAGACATTAAACTATGGAAGTTCCAGGGAAAATGTTGATGAACAGTACATCTTAAAGTGAAGTCCAGTGAAATGAAAAAAAAAAACGCTTATAATTTTAATTTGGACCTGCAAAAAAGGCGTTAAGGAATCGGAAGATTAGAAGTCCATACACAAGAAGACAGCCTCATTTAGGAAAGTTACAAGGTCGCACATGTATGCCTCGATTGTTGCGGATCTTGAAGATACTCAAAATTTGTGTTTACTATTTAGTTAAGAAAAAAGCAGACATGTAAACGCATAGTTTCAAAATATGAAAATCATCAAATGATGAGCTTTTTTAAAATAATGACGCTTGAAAATATTTTGTGATGTTGGACATTAAAATAATTCTTTTGAAGTGATACATTTTTATTACAGTAAACATGCATAGAAATATCATTAATAACGTGAAGTAAGAGTTCTTGAAACACGAATATTTGAATTGTGAAATGATACAAATAAATTAACACGCTGAATGTTTGATACCTTCAGCTGGTAAGCAACTTACAATACATGACGTATTCAATTCTCAGTTCTAAACCAAAAGACAACTGGCATTCAGCTGGGACAAAAGATTGGTGTACTACTAGAATACTGGAATAAATAAAAATAAAGAAAGAAAGAAGGAAAGAAAGAAAGAAAGAAAGAAAGAAAGAAAGAATGAAAGAAAGAAAGAAAGAAAGAACCAATGTCAGTTTACGTAAATTAAAGAGAGTACAAAACGGGAGTATTGAGTAAATATTTTTCCATGTTTGAATAATATTGTAGTAATATTTTTCATCTATTTACACTATACAAGTGGTACTTACAATCCCTACAAAGTAAGTGTAAAACAGCTCAGAAAGAAAATGTGAAAATAGCTCTTATATTGCGTTACAGTACTCACGTACGCAGTAGAAAAATGGTGATTAATGGGTCTATTGCAAAATCAGTCATTAATCGGACATACCATGTAAATTATTACTCACCATTTTATCATTTTACTTTTCTTTGAATTATAGCACAGTTTTCTCGAGTTTGATTTTCTTGAAACTGGTGGCATGCAGCTTCACTATTTCTTAGGACGACAACGCTATTTCCGAACATTCGATGTGTGAAATATTCGCGGGAGTTACTCACGTGGTACAGAAGCAGACTTTCGGGAAATGTGAGCAATGAAATTAGCGTTGGAATGTCAATATCTTAGCTTTCAGATGTCAGGAATAGTCATTTGATAGACAAAAATCATTTTTGAAGCGGCAGTTAACATATTTCGTTCGCGTTCGATGCAGATATGGCTCTACTTAAAGTAGGCAGTAAAGCACCGGTTTTCGTGACCCATTTAGAATTTGTTGGAACGAAATGTCAAATATTTTGCCAAGTTGGTGATGTCGGCGGACAAGCAGACACATTAGCAGAGAGAGTGCACGAGAGTGTTGAAAATGGTCTTGCCTCTCCAATTTCGGGGTGCAACGTTGGCGATTTATGCTTGGCATTATTTAATGAAGATGGAAGCTGGTACAGGGGTAAAGTGTTGCAGAATTTGGGTCATTCTTTGAAAGTTTACTTCATTGACTACGGTAATACTGAAACTGTAAAGATGAACGACATCAGATCAGCTCCAGATTATGTTCTTGCTATACCAGCACTTTCCACAAAATGTATTGTGAGTGATTGTACTCCGTTAAGTGGGATTTGGGCGGACGAAGAAAAGAAGAAGATCGAAACTATGTTACATAGTGGAGAATTTATCTGTGAAATAATGGAAAGTGATGTTAATACTGAAGTTTATAGAGTAAAACTGTATAGCAATGATGCATCTAATACACCAATATTTGTTAGACCAGCACCAAGTTCGAGCTTGTCAATTAAATCTCAAAATTTGAAAGTAGGACAAGATTATGAAGTATATGTTTCTTATGTTGAATCTAGTAGAAAATTCTGGGTGCAGTTAAAGAGCCATGAGAATGATCTGAATTCTCTGATGTCGGATATAAGTGCTTGTTTCGCTGAAGATCTTCCTTCAACAGGGGATATTGTCAATCCTACAGAGGGTCAAGTGTGTGCTGCATGCTTCAGTGATGACGGTGCGTTTTATCGCAGTATTGTCAAGAATATTCAAGGAAGCAACTGTACAGTATTTTTTTTGGATTATGGCAATAATGAAGAAAAACGAACATCTGAGCTTTTTACATTGCCACAGGCTCTTTGCCAGCTTCCAGTTCAAGCTGTGCAATGCTCATATAAAGTTGACAGTCAAGCAATTGATGACAAACTTCATGACCTTGCTGAGGATGAAGGTCCATCATTGTTGAAAGTTCTTTCAGGCAATACGAAATCTGGATATGTTGTAGAAATAAACTCCATTGAACAAATACTGAATGTACCTAAAGAAACCTCGCAAATCAGTCAAGCTAAAAGTGCATCAAAATTGTGGCAAAGTTATTCATCTGTTGTGATGCAAGCTGATGGCATCTATGATGTGTGTTTATCACACATTGATCATCCCGGACAGTTCTATGTACAGCTTCTTGGAAATGCAAGCAATCTAGATAAGCTAATGCAAGCTATTGATGAAGTTGCCCATAACTATGATAAGTTAACAAATCTGTATCAAGGCTATCAATGTCTTGCCAAGTTCAGTGATGGAAGTTGGTACAGAGGGGAAGTTGTAACTGCAGAAGTGGGAAAGACTGTTGTTGCTGCAGTAGATTTTGGATTTGTTGAAGTTGTGCAACCAAGCCAGTTAAGAAATACAGATCCCAACTTTAAACTTCAGCCAGCACAGGCAGTAAAGTGTACATTAGATTTAAACAAAACAGCACATAGTATGTGGACTGCAGCAGAAATCGATAACTTTAAAGGTTTATCAGAGAAAAATACCTTGGTGGCTAAGGTTTCTTTGAAGAAAGGATGCATTCACCAAGTTGACTTATATGAAACTGAAAATGGAGTAGAAAGACATATTAATACTGAAATCAACAACAAATCAACAGTAAATCCTAGTAGAGCTGCTTCACAGATACAGGCAAAACCTCAACCAGTCAGTGCCCCACCTGCAGTAGTTTTATCTCCGCCGGAAGTATCCGTTGGATCAAAGTATAAACTTTGCTTTACTGCTGTAAAATCACTGTACATGTATGGACAGCTTACAAGCACATCTGTTGAAAAGGTTGCCAAATTGCAAACAGATTTGAACACATTTTTTGAAAAGAAGTCGGGAGAAGCATTGTTAAAGGCTGAAGTAGGAAGTGTATGTTGCACACAGTATGTGGACGGAGGCTGGTACAGGGGTATTGTGACTTCAGTAGCAGGAGGGAAAGCTGAAGTTGCTTTCGTTGATTTCGGAGACTCTGTGATGAAATCAGTAAATGATTTGAAGATTCTACCACCCAGTTTATGTTCTCTTCCTCAGCAGTGTATTTTATGTAAGATAGTTAATCTACCATCAACTGTTGGATCAAGCGGTCTAGAAAAACTGATCAATAAAAGGGTTGAAGTCAAACTGAATGGAAAGGAAGGTAATTAGAAATTCTATGTCGTGAAAAGTCATCAATATCATTCTATTAATATTACTAGTAGACTAGTATATTTTTCGAAAGCAAATTTTCTCATATGTAACACTATTAATTAAAGCAGAACATTGACAGATTACTAATAGCAATTGTATTGCAAATTTTAAGCATTTTGTATAAATTTTGATTTAGATTTTGTTTAATTGTTTTTGCAGATGGAGTGTATCCAACATATGGGACAGAAATAACAGACAGACAAATTTTAGAACAGTATCAAGAACCTCAGGGGTCCCGTCCAGCAGTATTTAAAGGCGCAAGTAGTAGGACATTTGGAAGACCACAGAAAGACGAAACTTCATCTGTACCAAGGTATGATTTATTCAACATAACTCTTGTGATACTGTAATTATTTTAAATGGACCTGTCCATCTCTCAGTTTGGACAAAACCATTCATCATATTTTTTTGGGGGGGGGGGGGGAATTTTTAAGAATTTAAGTATGTACCGACTGAATAGCAGGTTAAAGATCTATCCTCTTTGTATTGATCAAACAAGTCTGCTGAACAAGTTTATGGTAAGTTTTACACTCAGTGCATGTTTACAACTACTTTAAAAAGTAAAACAAAAAAATTTAATATCATACCAACGAATGAGTATGTTGAATAAAGTTTCTTCTTTTTATCTCAATAATACTTGAAAATTATGAACAGTTTACTTCAGAACCTTAATCTACCAAATATGCGACTGAATATCCCACCAAAATAGTATGTATATTTTCCCTCTAACAATTCCCCCTCGATAAAATCGAACAAAAAAAATCAATAATTATGTTGTTGCTTTCGAGTATTAAAATCAATCTGTTTCACAGCGTTTTTGTCAGTGGAATATTGTATGTCTTCACTGGGAGACTTTCGTCACAAAAGCAAGTCATATTGAAATAAAAAAAAACACCACTGATATTAGGGCTGCAACGATACACCAAATGTTCGATTCGATTCGATTTCGATTTTAGACACTGCGATTCGATTTTTTTCGATTCGATACATTTCTGATTACTAATTTATATTTGGTATATAATTCTGCTTGTCTGCTCCAAAAGTGAGTGGCCTTCAACCTAGTGCTTTGCTTTTCTGTTGTAATATAACTATTATATAAACTTATTTCACTTAATAATTGTGTTTATGAGAATAAAAAGCTCTTGTCTATTTGGAAAATAATTTTAATCAGGCAAATAATCATTAATCTCAGTAACATGAATATCACAGATACCTTCTGCTGACTAGGAATTTAACAAAGCATGTAAATTGTAAAGTAAATAATAATTAACAAAGTTTCACACTTATGTCAGTGTTGTCACACAATACTTCTAAGTCTAATTAGTCTATTAAACAATACAGACAAAAATGAAATTTATGAAATCACTTGACTAAAAAAAATAATTAATCCCAATTTCAAATATGCCTACTTACTGTAGTACTCAACATACAAAAAATTAAAATGTTCTTGAAATTATGAATTAATGATTACTGTTCTCAGATAGTAACACTAAAATGTCACATAAAAGTTTGATTCAAACTACACTTTTAAGCAACCAACTGTCTTAATTGTGTGAAACTATATTAGGCAACACCTAATCAAGTTAAAGTTTATAACAGGTCATCCGGGATTATAATGTTTTGCTTCAGAAATACAAGCATGTTAACTTGGTCACCAGTAAGGCATGCCCTCTGTGCTGTTACTACATCACCAGCAGTAGAGAACACTCTTTCACTGGCAACACTGGTAGCTGGAACACATAGTAGTTGCTTTGCATATCTTGAAAGCAAAGGATATTTATCTTCCTTTTCTTTCCACCATAACAGAGGATTACTGACATCAGAGTTCAAAGGAAGACAAGCTTCCTCCTTGTAAGAAACAAGCTCTGCTCTAACTCTGTCAACAGATGATTTAGCAGGCTCAACCTTAGTCACAAACACATCACCAAATAAATCTGCCAGTGCACAACTATTTGATTTACAATCAGAGTCTTCAGTTTCTTTCTTTACTTTAAGTGGTGGTTCTCCTTCCCCCAGTGTGGATAATGAAGGGAGTACTGGTACATCAATGGTAGTAGCCTCACTAGCCTGGCTAGATGTGGGTGTCTCATCAGGTTCACTTTTAACAGTCACATTCTGAAAATAAGCAAATACTTATTTTTAAGTAAATGTGCAGATTATATTCTTTGTAGATTGAAGTTTTTCCTATAACACATTATAAGTCTTCACTAAATTGATAAACACTCTGTTCCATTGTTTATTAGTAGTACAAGTGAGGCGCCACAGCATGAATGATATAAAAAAAAGTTTGAAAAGAAATAGAGAACTTTGAGTTTTCATCTTAATATAGAAAAAAATGACAAATGCATGGGTGATTGGATAGCATATGACAATACAAGAAATAAACTCCTACTAATTTAATACTGAGCTGATTGCATCATATTTGTATGTTGATAGGCTTGCTAGCTAGCAAAGATTATAGAAGAGAGGCATGATTAACATACCTGACAGCTTGAGTCACTCTGTAGTAATTCTGCTGCTGATTGTATATTATCATATACTGCACACCTAGATCTATCATCCAAGTAAGGTAGACTCTTAAACCGTGGATCCAGGGCAGAAGCTTGTAGAAGGAACCCCAAAATGTTTTCATCAGTATACCTGAAAGAAAAAAAGAAGAATTTTAAATAATTTTGTTAACTTATAACTATTCTGTGATCAGTTAAGTTTGATAAATATATATATATATATAATACATATTTGTTATTGTTTAAGCTTTGTACCATTTTAATACTTTTTTATATATATATACTTACAAACATCATATGTTTTTATAATAATTTATTTATTTAATAAAGTGACAACTCATAATGGTACCATGATTTATTATTTATATGCTTTTATGTTGAAATAAATTATGTATAATTATATTATGCTGTCTGTTTTCGAATGAAATATTTGTTTCTATTTGACTTAACTAATTTTATTTAACACAGATTAATATTTCTAACCTTGGCTTGAGATCATTGCTGATTGCTGATTTTATGTCTGATACCAACATGTTGTCAGAAGGCAAGACCTCAAGTTGTCGTAACAGCATTTCCTTTAGGGGGTGTATCAGTGACACAGTAGGATGTTTCTGGCTACACATAAGAGTTGTTACAGTTTTAAGTGGTTTTAAAATTTTGATCACTTCCTCTATGTTCTGCACATCACTTTCTGATAATGTTACTATGTCTTTGACACTCTTTTTCACTTCAAGCAATGTAGCATATACAGCTGCCTGTTGCTCTAAATAGCGTTCACACATATCAAAACTTGAATTCCACCTGGTTGGAACATCCATTAGTAGTTTGTGATTAGGGAGATCAAGTTTCTCCTGCATTACCTTCAAAATACTAGTAGCAGAAGTGCTTTTATGAAAGAATGTTACCACACGCCTCACCCTACCCAAAAGTCTGTCAACTTGTGAAACTTTCAGTCCACGTTGTGTTGCTAGATTCAACGTGTGGGCAAAACACCCAACATGTGGACTCAAACCCGAGTCCTTAACAGCACGAACAATATTACTTGCGTTGTCAGTAGATATAGCAGGACCTTTGCCATTGCGTTCAAGTTGCCAGGATGTTACTGTGTCATGTAGACCACTTGCCAAATTTTCAGCTGTATGAGAATCACTAAATAATTTTGTTTCAAGAGTGTAATTTTCAACCTGCCAGTTGCTATTAATAAAATGGGCAGTTACAGCTACATAATTTTCTGTGGCTCGAGATGTCCATGAGTCAGTGGTTATGGCAATGGAGTCTGCAGTTTGAAGCCGCTTCCTTACCCTATCTTCAACCTTTTTCCACAGTGCAGGAATGACTTTTTCACTGAAATGTGTGCGGCTAGGAAGTTTGTATCTTGGTTCCAAAACATGAATCATGTTCCGGAAGCCTTCATTCTGAACAGTACTGTATGGGCGCATATCACATGCCAAATACCCAGCTATTGCTGTAGAAATTGTCTGAGACCTTTCTGCAGTCACTTTCCCTTTCATTTCTGTCAATTTCAACTGATTAGCAGGTAAATTACAAACAGACCTTTTTGCTGAACTAGGCATGTCATGCTTACCAAACAAGTCCACATCGTGTTTTCGTTTCATGTGCTGCATGAGATTAGATGTACTGCCAGACTTTGGATACGACACGTCCGTAAAGCATATTTTGCATGTAGCTTTATCCGTTTCCTGGCCTTCCCGAAACCCAAAGTGTTCCCAAACTTTTGATTTTAATTTTTTAGGGGGATTTTTCAATTTTATTTGTTCAACATTGCTGTCGGTAGCCATTTTGACTTGTTTGCCGAAAATAAAACATTACGCGCCCACTGATTGGATGACCGAGTTTTAACTGGCCAATCGTATGTAACGTGATAAAGCGTGAAGGGAAAGACTAAAACTCTCACTTTTTTCCATGTTTATTTTTTGGGTGGGGAATCGAATCGAAAATGTTACAGTTGGTATCGTGAATCGAGTCGGCGCTCATAAAACCGGTTTTCGATGCATCGAAAGGTATCGTTGCACCTCTAACTGATATTTAAGTGGAATTTTATTGATATTTGACCAAAAAGGAAAAACATTCCCCATCCGTTGAAATTCCCCCTGCTGAAGGTAGCAACCAACTTCTTGTAAATTGGATTAAGGGCCCATTACTTTTACACAATATTTTAAAATAGAGTGTTATTCATGTAGATTATTTTTGGAGACATTCTGTTGTCAAACAGTGCTAAAATTTATGTTGAGAAAGTACTTCTTGCTGAAGAAAAATATATATATGTACAGAATTCAAGAACTTTCTGTGGGTAATTGCCTACATGTACATGTCAGATATATGATGAACCTGCTGGGATTGAAGCTGATAAGAATTTGCTTCCAGTTCAGTGTTATTACAAGTCCGGTTGCACCTCTGTTTCGTCTGACGGGGCTCTATACTGTTGTGTGACTTGATATACATGTAATTTGTAAATAAAATTGATAAATGGATATTTCCAAAAATTGAAAATAGACAATACGTTTTAAGAAACTCGGCAAGTTAAGGGTTAATGCTGGTTTTTACTGAAGAACAAACATTAAATAATGGTACCTTTCATTGCATATTGTTTAGAATTTGATACCTTTTTAGGTCGTTAGGTTGAAATGCCATACGATAATAGATGTTGTCTGGAACTCCTCATATGTGGGCTTTTCCATCTAATCGCGGGGTACAAACAACTTTTTACGGTTTTAGATTCACTGTACAGCAGGTCAATGCATTGCATTTGCAAGTGTGAAAGTTTGTTTGTACCTGGGACAAGGTGGGAAAAACCCACATTTGCTGTGTTTGAGAGTATCCCTATTAGTTTATTGTTTACACCTAAAATGCATGTGCATAATGTTTACTTAGAAATAAATATATCTTCATAAGCTCTCATTTATTTACTATTATAGGGAAATGAAAGGAGGAAGTCTTTCTGGAAATGCTTACACTCAACAAGAAGTTGTAGTCAATTCAACACAAGAGGTTATGGTTACATATGTGAAGAGCCCAAATAACTTTCAGGTACTTTCATGCCACAGGAATTTATCCTTCTTGCATACTTGTTCTGATGTTTCTAAGCTCCACTTTTCAAAGAGAAAGAAGAGCTGTTATTACCCACTCATTGGTGTAGGTTCACCTGTTTGAAGGTTATGTTTCCATTTACTAACAAAGTAAATCATGTAAAATGTTGCTGAATATGTTGTCCATACAAGAAAATTGTTTCTCTTTTATAATATTTGGATATTTCTTCAAAATTTTTATTTGAATTGATAAAATCGCAATAGTATCAAGAATGATGTGTTATGTTCAACTGTTCAGGTTGTCCTGGAGAAGATGACTGCAAGTCTGGACTATGTGATGGATCAGCTGCATGAGTACTATGATAAACTGCCACCAGGCTCAAACAAGTTGGTGAATCCTACTCTTGGTCAGGCTTGTGTTGCCCAGTTCACAGATGATAAAGGCTGGTACAGAGCCCTTGTTACAGGTAAAATGTCATAAATCATGATCCTTGTCTGCAGGGATTATTTCATTACAAAGATTTCTATAAGAAAAGTTGTTGAAATCTGCTCTAAAACTGTGAATAGATTTTAAGTATTGTCTAGCTGACCTCAGTGAAGGTTGTGAAAATTATCTTGCCATTTGTTGAAAAAAACACATCAATTAACCATTGGTATGCTTTGGTCTTAACCAATGACAGCTCTATCAAAAAAGTCTCATCTTTTGGAGTTTTAATCATATTCTCTGATAAGTAATACAGACATTTGTTTTTCTTGATTAAATGGTGCCATGGATTATATTTTCAGGTTTGATGGCTGATGGGCAAGCAGAGGTTATGTATGTTGATTATGGTAACAATGAATATACGGAAAAAGATGCTCTGAAGGAAATACAACAACAGTTTATGTCACTTCCTGCACAAGCTGTCCAATGCCGTCTCTCAGGTAAAGCATGTTATTGTATATTAAGTTTGTTAAGATCACAAAGGGGGCTAAACCTATTTACACAAGGTTTGTACAGTCTTAAATGGTGCTTAAATTTGAGTCCCTTTCTTAAAAAGTGCTTAAAAATGAAAATAAGTGTTTAAAAAACCTTGAATTTTTATTACTCTCTTGAAATGTCCTGAAAAAGTGCTTCTTTTTTTTACATTGGATGTCTGTACGAACCATGTTGTAGTATATATTCCAGGACAACAACATGTAAAAAATTCTAATAAAGGGAGCAGACTTTATTTTGAAGTGTTCAGTTTAAGACAAAAAAGTCTCAGTGCTTGTCAATGTAAAAGCACCAGAAGTAGTTTTCTGGTTAGCTTGTAAGATAAGATGATGTTATTGTATTGGTTTAGTGTTCTCATATAGATAAGGCCCCCATGGTTACGCATTTAAACGGATTCATTTCTATTTTCAGTCGTAAATGTTTATGATAATTTTTACCGTTTTATCAAAATGACCATATTGTCTTATAAAATATCTTAATCCTTGCCTGTAATCATGAATTCTATCAATTGTAATTGGTTTATTCCAAAGTAAAATACGGAAAATAGGTATTTTCAACCCTCTACACAGCATTACCGTGCAATAATCGCTCGTGACATAATACAGATTTGGTAAAGCTGATTTTCCTTTGATCTTTCAAAAGAGCGCAATGAGGATACAATGCAGAAAATATGTGCTGAGTCGGACATTATTATTTGTACTTGTGTTACAAATAGAAAGTAAGTCATCATTTGATGACTTGAATACATTGTGGAAGTACCACAGTTTAAACAGTATCGTTTCGGTTCTTAGCAATCAGGGCCAAAACACCATTTTTGGGGAAGGGGCCTCAGCCTTTTTCTTGGGGAAAATATGCATGATTTTGGCATACTTTGGAAAAAGGTGTCTCATATTTAACACAAAATTTTAACAAGTTCTTCAAAATAGAAAAGCAAAAAGCACTGGGAAATACTAATAAGGCAGTAAAAGACCTTAATTCAACACCATCATTTAATTTTGTTCCAACTTCTATGGGAAATTTCAAAAGAGTGGGGACCGGAGGGGACTTTAGGTTTACCCTCCGTACGTCAGTCTGTCCTTCCGTCCACAAAACTGTATCCCGCGATAACGCAAAAAGTACTGAAAATATTTTTATGAAACTTGATATATGGATAGATGGCAGTATGGAGATTATGCACGTCTTTTTCTTTTCTTCTTATGTTGAAAATTCTGGTTGCTATGACAACAAATAGACTGAATTTCAAGATTTCTGATTCTAGTTTTTAAGTTTTTTCACTATAAGTTCTTTATTTCTTAAGGTATTTTCTTCAAACTTTAAATATAAGTTGCTAGTCATCAACCACATCATATGTGATAAAGTTTACAACTCTTAGCACAAAATTTATCAGAATTACCTCCCTTGAACTTAAAATTTTCTTGAAAAAAATATTGTTTTTTTTAATAACTTCTTTTTTTCTGAATGTATCTACTTCAAACTTCATATATATGTTTCTTATTATCACTCGACATTTGTGAGAAAGTTGAATACTCTAGCAAGACTATTTCCAGAATTATGCCCCTTTTGAACTTAGACTTTTTTTCGAGAAATTGGTAATTTTTACTCCCAATTTCTTCAATCATGATAGGATTTTCTTCAAACTCCCACATCATAATATGACGAGGTTTATAAATCTAGCATCCATATTTCCAGAATTATCTCCTCCTTAAACTCTTTTTAAAAATTTTGCTTTTAAAAATGTTATATTTTGATAAAAGGGATGTTTAAAAAATAACTGTAGAGTGTCCTTCAGTCCGTCTGTCTGTACATAAAAACTGTTTCCTGTGATCACTTTTAAAGAACTTTTTCAACAAATTTACTTAAAATAGAAACATACGTGAATTGCCAATGGTCCTTCAGAATGTTGCTGGGGTTCTAACCGGTAGGGAACTTATGGATTGCTTGCAATACTATGATAATTGCTTGTTATTGATAGAGTTATGCCCTACTATATTATATTAAGATACAGATTAAGTTGCAATCAACATGTTATTGAGTGCCCTGCCTTAGTTGAGCTTTTGTTTTATTATAGGTGTGTCATCATCACAGGGCTTTTGGTCCCCGGAACACATTGTACAATTCACAGAAATGGTTGAGGAACAATCGTTTATGGCTACATTTAAAGCTGAGCTTCATGAACAGGGACAAACTATGTATAAAGTGGAACTTGTTGACAAGAAAGGCAATAATATAAACCAGAAATTTGGGACAATGACTGGCACAACCTGTTCTGAGGAAGACAGTGGTCCCTGTTCCAGATCAGTCTCTGCTGGGAAATTCGGACAGTCCATCAAAGTCACGGTAGGTTTTCATTATGTCATTTCGTACCTTTGATTTGTAAACAAAAGAATATGTTTCCCGAGTGTTAGAATCTTTTCAAAAACAGGTTATCTTGATATTTACTCTGAAAATTTGAGTCACCCCACTTTAAATGTGAGTACAGTGCAACCTCTTTAGAGCTACCCTTTGTAGAGCAATAACCTCTGACATAATCAGTAATTTAGTATAAATTCTTCTCAAAATGAGACTTAACATCTCAAGAGCAAGGCATCTTGGAAACTAAAATCTTTGTGTCTCTAAAGGGGTTGCTTGGAAAAGGTTGTACTGTACAAACATTACTTTGGAATTGAGACAAAACTTCAATTCTTTTAAATATTTCATTGGTGTCCATTTCAAGGTACATTAAAGGACTACATTATTTATTCTTTTATATTCTTTTCATTTCTTTGCATTTTCCTGATGATAGTAAAATTAATTTGTTGTAAGTATACATGTACAATGTCTTGGTAAGTATTAATTTTACTTTTGTTGTGGACTTAATATACCCTTTCCATTGAGGGGAACTAAATTGGATTTACTTGTTGCATTTGTGCATTTGCTTAACTACTAGGAGTAACTATTTTAAACTCGGGGCAAATGTTAACTTTGCCTTGAAATATAATGATAAATGGACCTACATTCAATATCCTGTGTCATAGAGATGGTGGGGGTATTTGTCACTCCTGTGACTGCTCTAGTCTTTTTGTAAACCATTGTTTGCAGTAAACTAGACATGTTATAAAGACAAAGGTAAAATTTTCACAGGTTGCAGGAGGCGAGGAAGATTCTAATTGGGAAGATGGTGGAAACTCTGGTTTTGGTGGCAAAGCCAGATCTTTTGGTTCAGGCAGGCAGCCAAGTGGTGGATCTAGTGGGTTTGGATCGAGGTCTAGTGGTTTTGGGAATAAACAGAGTTCAGGCGGAAGGGACGGTGGCTGGGATGATAATGACACTGGTGGATCATCATCTGGTTTTGGGAGCAAAAAACCATTTGGAAGTAGTGGTGGAGATGGATTTGGGAGCAACGGTGGGGGTGGAAGTGGATTTGGAAGCAGTGGTAGAGGTGGAGGTAGCTTTGGAAGCAGTGGTGGAGGTGGCTTTGGAAGCAGTAGTGGAGGTGGCTTTGGAAGCAGTAGTGGGGGCAGTGGATTCGGGAAGTCTAGTGGTTTTGGATCCAGTGCAGGTAGTTAAATTTTCATTTAATAAATTAGTAATTCTTGAATTATGTGAATTATGTCTAAAGAAGTTGTTGTCTTATGACATCATGTATTATATGAATTTAATTTATATTAAATAAGTTACTGTTTATTATCTGAATTAGGCTTTAACCTGCTGAATTTGTCCTTTTGAATTTTGAACTGTCCATTTCAAGTCTTCAGGATCTAATGTCAAAATACAAAAAATGAGCTACCAAATAGTATAGAGCATGTTCAGACAGCACAGTTGTTCAAACTTGCCTGGCACTATACTGGTGGCAAAGGCTATCATGTTTGAATAATAGCAGGATAAGGAATAAAATTTCTTTGCCAAGAAGTATAAGATGTGGACAAATATACTTGCTCAGATAAATGTAATAAGAGGATTGTTGAAGAAATGACCCTTTTGGGCTTGAAAAGTTTGTTAGCATTTACATTTTTTATAGAATATTTTTAAGAATAACTTGTAAGAACTTGCATGTTTTAAATCAACACGTTTGATAGGTATCTAGGAAAACAGATTATGTGAATTGCTTGCTGAGATATGACCAAAAAAATGTGTTAAAATCAATGTTCAAACAAGAATAACAAATACGGATACATTTTGAAAATCACAATATTTGATCATGTATTGATGTAAGCTGTTGCATTGTTTTAAAAGGTTAAACCTTATTAATAGTCTAAAGATAATAAGTCTTTGTGAAAGTTGCTGATACTGTAAGATCATTTCTAAATTGTGTTAGAATATGGCTCATCTTGGTTTAAAAAACTTAATATCTAGTTGCCAAAGGAATATTACAGTAGAGCCACATGATTTTAAAAATCGATATTTTTGATGTGAATGGTATTATATATTGAATTTGAAGGTGGTGGTGGAAGTAAAGATTGTTTCAAATGTGGAGAATCTGGACACTTCTCGAGAGAATGCCCAAATGCTGCAAAAGGTAATATCACTTAAGATATTGTTTGCATGCATGAATGGTTTGCACTTTTTGAACGTGAATTATTCTGTTGTTGGTATTGGTGTCAGCATAAATCCTGTTTGCATGCTACTATATTTCAAATTAATTAAAAGCTTCCGTTTGAAACTTTTTATCATTGCCTAAGTTGACCAATATCTTAGGTATATGAAATACAGTAACCTTGTGAGGGCCTCTTCACTGATTACTAATACTTAAAATTTAAAGGTTACTGAGGTACAGATATTTGCATTATTGAACCCCATCTATCCTCATTCTGCAGTTTAGTAAGTGGTGAACTACTAACTAAGTTTAATCCTCACCATCATGTGTTTTCCTACATCTAATCTATTTTGCGCAACAATATATATTTAGTGATTGCATGGTCAAAACATCTCCCCTGTTTAACCTAACTGTACTAACACTGTTTATATAGGTGGTGGCAGAGATTGTTATAAATGTGGAGAGAGTGGACACATGGCTAGAGATTGTACTAACCCACCTAAAGGTAATCCTCACTTGTTACATGTTGATGATTAATTATTGTGCTTAAATGTTGATAATTACTCACAAATACAGTAAAAACTCGGGAGAAAAAAAAAAAAAGGACATGGTTGGGACTGGACTATATTTTCAGTTTAGGTAGGGTTACGGTGTACTGATAATTTTAGGTATTGACTTTCTTAAACTTATTTGTTAGTGGTTAAGCCATAAATTTCATCTGTTATGCTTACGAGTACATTTTGAATTTTCTATAAAAAAAAATTGGAACCCTGAAAGAATGTCGGGTCTATGTATGAAATCCAGTTTTGGGCTTTTTCCTTAACATAGCATTTTGAAAGGAAAGCTTGTGTAAAACAAAAATGAATATGATAATAA